CAGCTTCTTGGTCTTCCACTTCTGGTTCTGCGGTTCTTTTCAGATTTGGTTATTGGATTCATTTCAAAAACCAACTGCTAAATTTTTCCTTGTCCTCAAAGACTACACTTATTTCCCTCTAACACAGCATCCAAACCTACTTCCCTCTAGCTTTTCTCAGTGGATCCAATCGTGGTGCTGTTGCCGAGAGAACCTCCTTGCTGACTTGCTGCCACGAAGAACAGCTGGTGAAGTTCTTTGTTAAAGTGCACTTATTCTTAAGACTTGTCTATATCTGTATCCAAGACTCAGTCTCCCCGCACCCATCTTTAATTTGAATGGCTTTTCTCATTCACTAGAACACTGAGGACAACAGCTGAACTCTTTACCATCAAGTTTTAAATTTTACTTTTTCTAAAAGCTATCACTTAGATGGGAAGCCTACTGACAGCTGTGGAAGAACACAATGACATTAAAATAAGGGTTGATGTACAAAATGTTCAATACAAAGTTGCATGTTCCTTGCACATTTTTGTTTGAGAAGCTGCAACCAAGGAAAACAACTATGAAAATTAAAAGCAACTTGCTCTATGTATCTGGATCACACTCAGCCAAATGTTGCTAACAACTTGGATAAAAATGTAAATATGACAAAGTTTGTTTTGCAGTCAGTAAGTCTTGATAAAAGCTTTGAATTTCTACCAACCAAGAACAGTTTTAATGTTAAACTGGGGTCAGCAAACTTTTTCTATAAAAGAACAGTTAGTAAATATTTTTAAGTTTTGTGGGACACATAGGGTCTCTGTTGTATATTGTTCTTTGTATTGTTTTATTTTTTTAAAACCCTTTAAAAATGTTAGAAACCGTTCTTCGCTGTGGACCGCACAAAAAACAGACTGCAGGCCACATCTGGCCTGTGGGCCTTAGCTTGCCAACCCTGATTTTAAGGAAAGTGAATCCAAGAAAAAAAAATGCAATGTTATAGAATAAAACATCTAAAAGTGCTCTCATCAGACTAGGCTGCAACAATTACCAGCATACCGATATTAATATAATTTCCTTAATTGTTTTGCACATGGAAGGAATTTTAATGACAGGCTGCATGCACTTTGATCTCCTACCCTGAAACTACAGACATTGAAAGAAAGGGCAAAGGAGAGCTAGAATATGCTGCGCTATCCAAGTATGAATTCCTATAGGACTCAGAGGCATTGTATTAGCATTTACTATTTCCCTGAACAGATCTGGCTAATCAAAGCAGGAACATCTTAACTTTCCCTTACATAAAAGCATACGTGCAAAAACGAATTTTTCCCTGGAAGAGGTGGTGACTTGAATTTAGGGAGCTGATCAGAGTGATCAGAAAGAGCAGCAGCTCAGGTTTGAGAAGTGATACAGACTTGGATTTGGGGTTTCACTAGACTCTGCTACAACCAGCTGTGTGATCTTGACACTATCAACCTTAGTTTTCTCATTTACAAAACGGACAGAAGGATAAAGTTTTCTGCTGTCAAACTATGACTACACAAAATAATAAAACCACTCAGGAAATACCCTAACAGGAAGGAGGGGGTGGGGCAGAAGGGCAGACAGTAAAGGGAAGAAGCTAGATGGTCCTGTTCGAGGACATGGCCAGGCTCAGTCCAGGTCCTCCTAAGAAGTCAGCGTGCCTTCGTATCAAAATTAAAATGAACCCATATCCCACTGGATTCACAATACATATCTAGCTGTATTATATTTCCTATAATTGCCTTTTGCTTGTTGTCTTGACGTTCCATTTTGCAGACATTTAATTAAATGTTAATTATGATCATGTAAGGGGTTTGGGAGAGCCGATCAAAAACCTCTTCTTAGTTCTCAAACACTTGAACTGGAAGGCTAGTTGGTCCTAGGCACTGGGCTGTAATTTCAAATGAATAAAATATCCCTATTCAATTGTTAATAAATATTATCTGACTGATTTTCTGGAAGATTCCAAATAAGCCAACTGAAAAAGCAGAAAGGAAATGAGGGAAACTGAGGTATCTGAGAAAATGGCAGAACCTTAGAGAAGTAAAAAAAAAAAATATCTGTGAGACAACTGTATCTGTAATCCAAGTGACTAATTGTCTCCTTCCTTCCATGATGGCAGAGCAGCTACGGAAACAGCATCTAGACAGCAAAGGCCCTTTTTTTTAAAACTACTTAAACTTTGACAAAGCAAAATTAAGACTTAAAATGTGTCTTCGTGGGAAGAAACAGCTACACATACTCATCTACCAAAACATACACACAAACCCCAGACATTAAGAAATGGACCTTTCCTGTGAAGTAGACCTTATCAAGTTTTGTCAGCCATGCTGAGACAGACCATGTCAAAACTCAGTCAGAAAAGCCCAGGAACTTAAACCACCTAGGGACCTCAAGAAATAGCTACGATTAGGAGGAGATGAACCATGCTCTTACCTCAACAATTTCAGATCACAGGGGACAGGGATGAAGGTTTCAGAGGGTGAACACTGATGCTAGAGACGCAGACACTCCAATTCTACGGTTGTAGTCAGTGAAGAGTGTGTGGAACTTTTCACTAAAATGGTGGTCGACATTCACCTTATTTTCCTAGCTTAATTTCAACTACAAAGCTTTAGGTTTCAGGTATATAAATTCTGGTGTTTGAAGGTCGTGTGATATCACTTCCTGTCAGGGCACTGAGGCTAAATAAGAGATATGGATTTCCCCTCCTCCATGCCAACTGAAGACACAGTTGAGAGCCTCTTTTTACCACATCCACCCCACAGAATATATAAAGACCAAGATCACACATGAGATTCACCCCATTTAACATCTACCTCCTATTCAAGACAGTTTTAGGACACTGCAACTCTCCACAGAACCAAATTTCAATTATTAAAAAAAAATCTAAGCAAGAAAGATTTAATCCTTTAGGATGAAAGTAATTGTTAGAAGCTACTATTGTAAAAGGAAACAGATACCCATGTAAGGGGAAAAAATTAAGGCAAAAAAAGAGAAAACTAATAAAACTATTATAAATGAATTACAGTCATCCAAGGAACTTAGCAGAAAGAGCATCAAAGAGATTCACTTACTTTCAACACAGAATGTTTCTGGGAGGGTCACAAACAGACTGAACAAAAGGCTACCCACTCAACTTGTTAGAAATTGTCCTTTACCATCTGGATTGCAGGATGCATTTAACAATGAAAACGAGTTATTTGGGATTTTGAAAGTACTACCAGCATCAAAAATTAACTCCCTTTAGTTACATCAAAAATTAACGCCCTTTAGTTGCTGTAACAGCTCCCACCAAATCTCTTAGGAATATACTTGAGATGTGACATTTAAAATCTGCTTCCTCAGAAAAGAAAAAGTCCCACTCAAGAATGACTGCCAAGAACTTGCAACTCAAACTTCCCTAAACCCAGATATTTTGACACCAAGGAAGTTTCGGACCACTCGATTCATATGAAAGAGGCCAACAAGCCACAGCCTTTCCTAGTACTTGATTTGAAGAACATTGTATCACCAAACATTCTCTTTTTAAATGCATTATTCTTGAAACATACAAATATTCAAATGCACTTATTACCATAGCACTGGCCCCTGGTATCCCAGAAGTTCATGGTGGAATATGCTGTTAAGAACCATTTGGAGGATGCTTAAGTGAGCTACTATAACAATCCACGAACATCACCCAGACAACCAAAAGCTAAGATTCTTGAAGGCGTTAATTAAGTGCAGCTATTAAACAAGGGAAATGATGTTAAGGTCACTTGTACAGGCATCTTAAAACCAGCTTTGATTTGCTCTTCAGTTTATGGTAAAAGATCTTGTTATCTGAACACAAAGTCTCCCACTACAAAAGGAAAGACAGCTCCCAGCCAAGATCAGGAAAAAACTGAATCAAATAAAGGTAATTAGGGAGGTATTTTGCATGTTGTGATTCATTTATCAAGTAATAATTAGAACCGAAGCAAAATATACAGAGAGGCATGCAGAATGTAAGATCAGTTTCCGGCTGAGAAGCTGTTACACATACAAGTCCAAGAAGTTAAAAAGTTGACAAGTGTTGCGTCTCAGGAGATGGTAGTGAAAGAGTGAACAATTTTTTTTCCTGACCACACCATCCCCGAAGTCACCGGTTCTCTAACACCCCTTAAAACTCACAGAACAATTTAATGCTCCACAGACACTCCATCATTAGTCACTTTTTGCTCTTGATCCTGAACTTGATCCAAAGGAATTAGAGGGAAAATGGTAACCGGACTCCCAGTTCCTGGAGAAAGTCCTGTGCTCCTAGTGCTTTCCATTTCCCCTCCGTTTCCCATCTTTTCTGCTCAACCACTCTACGGTATAGTCTGCTTCCCCTTTTCCTATCTTATCCAGAAATCCTTTACTTTCTCCACTAAGTACCCTCATTCCTTCCTTTCGGTCCCTGAACTCTTCTCCCCATCTAGTCATTTTCTTCTGCCCCCTCCTGTGAAGAGATGTCCAGACCTCATGCGGCCGGTGCCCCTCATCCTTCACCTCCTGACCACTCATTCCCCTGAATTCCCTCCCTGCTGCCGGGTTCTCGCCCCTCTGTCCCTTGTGTCCTCTGACCCTTCACGTCCCTCCCATTCCCCCAACCCTTCATTTCGCCCTTAACATTTCCTTCCTCCTTCCTGCCTTTTGATCCATTTCACACCCACTGTTCCCTTCTCTCACCATGAGATTTCCTGTGCCCCCCACTTTGTCTCTCTAAGACCTTTCCTGTCACGCCCCCAACCCTCTCATTTCCCCCCACTACCCCTGGCCTAGGTTCCTCCGGTTCCCCTTCTGCCCCCAAGTCCCCCCTTCACCCCCCAACCTCACGTCCCCGCCCGCCCCTCTACCTCACGCCTTCACTCTCTCCCACTGCCCTCGCCTCCGTGCAGTCCGCGGCGTCCCCTCCCCGGGGGGTCCGCCCCCCGCCCTCTCCCAGGCCCCCTCACAGCCGCCCCCCATCTCTCACTCCCAGTCCCTGGCCGCGGTCCCTTTCTCACCGATGGTGGAGATGAAGGTGGTGTTGAAGGCGTCCTCGGAGAAGCGGAATAGGAGGCAGGTCTTGCCCACTCCCGAGTCGCCGATCAGTAGCAGCTTGAACAGATAATCGTACGTCTTCGCCATCTTCTCGCTCCGGCCCTCTGACCAGGGAGCTAGAGCAGCAGCAAAGAGAGAAGAGGAGGGGGCCTCGGGCGAGGGGGCGTACCCGCCGAGCCGCCGCCGCTCGCCCCGCCCCAATCCCCGCCCCCTTCCCTGCGCGCCCCGCCCCGCGAGGCCAATCCTCACGAGCCTCGTCATCACCACTCGCGGCCCAGGGCTTCATGGGACTTGTAGTTTCGTCGATGAGGCTCGGGCGTGCCTGGCGCGGGCTGTCCGAGCGACCCCAGCGGATAAAAGAAGACACACTCTGGGCGGGGTGACGGGGTGGACTAGGCGTTTCCACCCGAGTTGGGAAGGGAGGCGTGGTTCCAAATCTACGCGTCGAGCCGAGGCAACTTAATTTCGTCTTTTCTTTGTGTGCAGGCTCCTTTCAAATCCAGGACCTCGGAATCTGAGTCCCGCGGTTCCCACATCTCTTCCGCCAGGACCTGGAGCGGAGATACTTTCTTTTCTTCACGCTGCGATGGCGCAGCTTGTGGATTATCTGCCAGAGTAATACCTGGCTTCTCCTTCAATTCCTGTCCAGCACTACCTCCAAACCCTCTTACAGAGCTCGAAAAGAATGACTGCTTTTCTAACTTGAACCCCAATCATGTTCCCTTCTTCACTCAACACAGAGCCAAATACGACGAGTTTTCAGAGGATCTGCGATGCAGACCTCCTCCCCCACCTCGCAGGAGGATGGATAAAAAAAATCTTGGGACAAAATATGAAGGCTTGTGCTAGAGGTCTGTGCCCTATAAAACTGCAAGCATCGTATGTGGCAGGAACTGACCGTGGGAATCTAGAGAGTAAGATTTGGGTTTTGTCTGGGTTCAACCACTCAACCACACACACACAGGCTCTCCACACCTCAGTTTTCTCATCTGCAAAATGGAGTATAAAACCAGCTGTTTCATACGGTTGTAGGGAAAACTGAGATACTGAATGTGAACACACTGAAATTCATAAGGCATTTTAGAAATGTTAATGGTGATGGTTACCTTCTTCAACCCTTAGTAGACTCAATGGATGACAAGTGAAGGGGGAAAACAGCATTCCGTTAGACTCAATTTGAACCTTTATTTACTGTTTCAGACTATTCTTTAATTGTTTTGTGCATGTATTGTTCAGGCCTCTTTCATTTGCTAGTGGCAGAAACCCAACCAGATCAAGCTCTCCTGAAAGGGGAATTTACTGGCTCAGGTTAAGCCAAAGGGCAAGCAAATAGCTCAAGGAGGTGTAGGACTAAAAACGCTATCCAGTCAAGCCTCTCCATCTTTTATCTCTTCTCCTTTCTCAGTTTTAATTTCTAACATGTCAAATACCTCACAAACAAAAGTTCTTCAGAGTCCTCAATAATTTTTAAGAGGATAAAGGGGTCCCGAGGCCAAAATATTTGAGAACTACTGGCTTAGGTATTAACCTTATATCTGAGGAAACACCTTCTGGAACGTTAGAGATTATTAAGAGAACCAGTGGACTCAACCATTAGTGGAATAAGGAAAAATCTTGGACAGTTAGTAGAGCAAAACAGCAGGCTTTTCTAAAACACATCAAGTACCATGTGACTTCATGTACAATGCCAGTGATATTCCATTCTTAGTCTTTCGTGGCAGATTTATTTGGCCTGAGTATTGGCTTTTCCCTTCTATGTGGAAAGAAGATGAAATAAGTCATTAACTCACATTTACTGATCATACTGTACCCAGATGGTTGCTGCTAATCTAATGTCTAATTCTTAGAGCCTACCTGATGGGAACAAAGCTCTAAGAAGGCCTATGTCACAGTTTCTGCCCCTAATGAGGAGGGAGTCTGCCGTCTGGCACGGCTGAGCCTCCTCGCTCCAGACAGTTCTTGGACAATTTTGTACACTTGGCCTCAGCCAGGACTGAACAAGTATGGGGAGCTCAATTCTATACCTTCATCTTCATTCTGGAGAAGAGAAAAAGAAATCTTCAAAGACCAGTAGAATCTTTTTTTTTTAAATGTATACTGATTAAAATAAATTTTAGTCCTACCATCTGCATGCAACTGTTGGCATTCTCTTTCTGTATGAATAAGAACATACTGATGTAGTAAAGAACTTAAGTTCAGAAGAGAAGCTAGAGTTAGGAATTTTAAAGTCCCTAGATTTCCTTAGGGGAATTTTGTTAATTAATGGGAATTTTAAAAAATAATCTTTCCTATTTTCACTTCCCTGGTTTTTCTCTACTACCAAGTATATATAAGATTGGGACTTTCTAGCTGGTACATCTGTGCACCACTGTTGAAGCACCATTTGAGCATTGTGACAGGTCAGCACTACTTCAAAAAGAATTTGATATTTTCTTGTTATGCATTATTAATTTTCATATTTTATACAACAATATGTTACTTGGAGATCAGATTTTGGTGGTAGGAACAGTACTATTGAATCAAGGCACTTTGCTCAAAGGACTGGACAATAAGTAGTATATTTGTAGAACTGGAGTATCACAGGTAACAGGTTGCCTTTCTTTATCCAAGATGGGTGAACCCCTTTCTAAAAACCCATGTTACTGTGTGCTCTGAAGAGACCACATCAATATTTTTGCTGGTTGCCCAAACCCACCCTTGAATGTTATATCACTTTAGTGCACTATGCAAAGCTGCACATTCAATTTGGTCCTGTAAATACATACTGAAGTTTTTGATAAGGTTATGTTTGTAGCAGCCTGACTTACAGAAATCTAGGTGTCCAGGGCGTTTCCCCTCTGTGGTCCTTGTCAGGTCAGGACTTGTGCTTCCTGCTTTTGGGAAGCTGCTTCTCCCCCCATTGTGGCAATGAATCACGGTACTTTACTCCTCCAACCACAGAGTTGGTCATATGATCAAGCTGGATCAATCTGAGTTCTTTGTGAATTTTCTGAGCTGGGGAGTTGATGGTGAAATAAGGTCTGTCTGGTGTGAGGTTTGTGAGTTGAGCTGGTTTCATCAGAGCTCTAGCTCATTTTCCTGTGTTCTCTTGCTGCTGCCCTTCATATGCTTACCGTGTCCTCAGGCTGGCCTTCCTCATGGTAGCAAACAGGACCGCCACGTTGCACAATTCCAAGGGCATATTCACTTCTTACAGTTTTTTCAGCTTGGAGGTCAAAGACCCCCAAGAGTCTACAAACATATTCTTGAGGATCTATATGTTCTCTAGGCAAATTTTCAAATTAATTCAAGCATTCTTTAACTGGTTTAAATTGCTCCATGACACTTGAGTGCACCTTTCTTAACTGCTTAAATGACATTAAATTTGGTTGAGACCCCAACTTATCAAGGGCTGGCAAAACTGGTATCAATCATTCTGGGGACTCTTCTTCCCCTTAATTATATCCTATAAGAATCCAGACACCTTACATGGTCCTAAAAAATTAGGAGAAAAGCAGCCTCTGGCTATCAGTCTGCACCTGTCAGTGTTGCTGCTTCTGTCCAAACACCCTTGGGTTCTGGTCCTCTGCCATCTATTGAGTACAGCTGTCCTGGTGGGCTACAAAGATGTCCTTCATGGTGATTATTTTCACTGACTGATGACTCAGCCATCGAATAAGTTCTCTCTCTGTTATCTAGTAGTTTGTGTACCTCTTTGTCTTCTCTCTTAAAACTTGAGCTCTTTGAGGAAAGGGACATTACTAATTTCTCACTGTGACCCCAGCATGCCTAGCAAGATGCCTTACATTAGTAGGTACTCAGTGAAGTTGTCAAATGAGTGAATGAACATCTGACTATCATGCCAGCTGTCTAGGTAGTTTAAAAACATCTGGGACATCTTCCATTTATTATTTGCTATAAGACCTGGGTATTTTTAGTCTCACCAAATATCTTTCTTGTGGCATTTTACCTTGTATTTATGTTATTCATTCTGTAAGTATACTATTCATTATTGTGTTTAAGAAACCAGTGTGATTACATATTATTTCTCTAGCTTATCAAGATCATATTGAATGATAATCCCTTAAAAATACCAATTTTTCTTATCACCTGTGTGTCATCCAAACACATGCTTTTTGTTTAGTGATATTCTAGTGGGATAATTCTATAATTATCCTCATCAAAGCGGGACAGACTGTACTCTTCCCCCCTACTGTTGTTTCCTGAGCAATCCCTGGGTGAATAAGGTCCACTCCAACAAATATCCATTAAGCTCACACTCTGAAACCAACTCAGCAAGGCCACCTGGAATATACAAAGAGATCTGTCATGTGATCCCTGCCCTCCTTATGCTTGGCAGCTAACTGATGGGGAGAACCCACAAGTGAAACGTCCCATGATGAATGGGAAGAGATATTTGGCTGATAGACACTTCGTTTTTCTGATGGGTCAGGTGTCCATTCCGACTGGCTAGGTGTCCATTTTGACTGGGCACACAGTCTAATTGGTCAGGTTTCCAATGTGATTGATCAAATGCTTGTGCCAAATTGATTATTTAATATTTTGCATATTACCACTGGATGCAAAAGTTAAGTAAATATGACATGATAACACAAAAAAATTGTTACATCAAAGTACTATGTCTGCTTGATTAACAAATCTCTATAAAGGTGAGTAATCCAGTATCTCAAATGACATACCTAGGATCTGGTTTCTAGTGTTTTCCTAGCAATGCATCCTCAAAGTAACACTTATTTCAACAGGCCAACCTAAGTGGTTACAAAATGTCTTCCTGAAACTCCTGGGACTCTGCTTCCAGATTCAAACAGAAGAACAAATAGAGAATCATCTTCCTCAAAAGTTCAAATAAATGTATTACAATTGAGTTCCATAGGCCCTGACTGCCCTTACATGAACCAATCATAGGGTCCAAGGGAATGGCCTAGGCCAACCAGGTTAAGCCATTGGAGGGCTCAAACTCACCCTAAATCACAGGGTTCTATTAGAAAAAGAGAAGACAGGAACAGATAAGGCTATGGAAACAACAAATGAATACTACCACCTGTTTCAGGGTCAAATGTATATTGATATTTGAGTACTGCTAAATGATTGGTTATGTTGGGACTTCTGGAGCAGTCCTGGAGCTGAATCCAGGAAAATTCTGACTTGTCGTTCTCTTAAACAAATGGACTGATGTTGAACTAGGAAGAAGACGCAAAGG